CTTCCTATTTTTTTTTTTTAGTAGAGACGAGGGTCTCGCTCTTGCTCAGGCTGGCCTCGAACTCCTGACCTTGAGCGATCCACCACCCTCGGCCTCCCAGAGTGCTGGGATTACACTGGCCTGGCCCATCTTTTTTATGTCCCTGGATATACGTGCTTTGAGGGTAGAGATCATTTCTTGTTTCAGTGCGCATTTGAACTTCTGAGCTCAAATAATCCGCCCGCCTCGGCCTCCCAGAGAGCTAGGATTACAGGCGTGAGCCACCGCGCCCGGCAGAAGTTGTGCCCTCTGGGTTCTGTTTGCCGTCTGGCTGCTTTTACGGCCCTTTCTTTGTAGCCCAGGATCTGTAACCTTCTCAGATGCTCAGAACCAAAGCCGGGCCAACCTCTGTCCAGGTCTGCTAATCCCTGGGTCCTGTGGGAGATGCTCCCTGTGTTATGTTACTGCTTGGACTCATGCCCACCAGATGACTTGTGACCCCCAAAGCAACCCCCATCCTGGGGCTTGTTCAAGTGTAAGAGGCAGATTCTGGCCTGGAGGGAAGGTCTGCAAAGTGCTTGCAACGGGGGCCTGGCATTAGTTAATCCTATGTAAGTGTTAGCTACTATTATTAAGTTGAAAGAAGTGAGGGAAAAAGGAAGGGAAATGTAAAATGGATTTATAAAAATTTGTTCAACAAATATTTCTGTAGTGTTTGCCATGTGCCAGAAACTAACTCGTTTAATCCTAGTAAGAATTATAGATGAGGAAACCCAGGCACAGGGAGGTTAAGTAACTTACCCAAAGTCACACAGCTTATAAGTGGCAGTATCAGGATTTAAATCCAGGTAGTCTAGTCCCAGAGTCCCAACACATTAATTCCACAGACAGTCGTTAAGGATCTGCTGTGCAAAGTGCTGGTAGGGAGTGGAGGCGGGTTAAAAGCAGGCGAGGAATATTCTCTATCCAGAAGGATCTTCAACATAGGAGGTGAAGAAGGAGGAGACAGACAAGGGTGCTGCTATTCAAAGCAGAGAGACTCTGGAACACAAGGCGAAACGATACTGAGACTTTGAAAACACTCTGCAAACTGTTAAATGCTACACAAATATCAGGGATAAATAAGGGGTATAAGAGAGGAAAGCAAAGGGCCATGAAGACAGACACAGGGACTTGAAAGCATTCTTTTAATAATCTGGCTTTGAGTCTTGACTCTGCCACCTATTTGCTGTGTGGCCTTGGGCAAGTTACCTGCCCTCTCTGAACCTCAATTCCCTCACCTGCAAAATGGCAATCATAATTCCAATGGTATAAGGTTGTTGCGAGGCATGTAAGAGATGCCGCTGGTGGGCATAGGGTGTTGTGCCTGCCTGGAGCAGGTGATGAATAAATTATGCCTGCTGTTATTTGTTAGGCAGGGCCGCTCTTCCCTTCTCTTAGAGCATGCTGGGAAAATGTGTCACCAATATTTTCAAGAGAATAAACAGCAGGCGCAGATATGGAGCACAGCAAGAATAAGGAACCGACGCTGGAGTAGGGCTGTCAGGAGGGGGCGGCAGCATTTGACCTCCCCTCCCAGGGGTCCCGCTCCTGAGTCCTTTAGGGACCAAGAAGGCTCTAGTCTGCTCCTTTTCACCCACACCTCACTCTTCCCGGCTGAGGGACAAATGATCTCCCAGCCACTACCCACGTTTTTCTCAAGGACCTGGCCCACCTGGAAAAATTCCAGGAGCCCCGATGAGCTAGGGCAGGTGTCCTCTAATCCGCCTGGCTCTAAACCGCAGTCCAGCACTCCTGCACCCTTTCATCTCAACCCACAGCCGCCTTCAGTTCTCGCCATCGCAGAGCCCAGGACAGCTCTGGCATGCGCGATCCCCCGTGCTGTGAAATGTGCTGAGTAACGAGTCAAAGATATATTTAGATCCCATTCCTGCCCTCATACATGCAGCATAATCCAAAGCCCTCACCTAAGGCCCTACGTGATCTGGCCCTGCCTGCTCCTCTCACCTCAGCTTCTCCCCCATCTTGTGTCCACGTTGCTTTGGGGCTGTTCTGCACACAGGCCAATGCACCGCTGCCTCAGGGCCTTTGCACCTGCCATTTCCTCTCCTGGATCTCTTCCTCAGATTTCTGCATGGGCCACTTCCCCACTTCATTCAGGTCTTTACTCAAAAGGCTCTTCCCCAGAAAGACTTCCTGTCAGTCTCCAATCCCTTATCCTGATTTACTTCTCTTCAAACACAATGCCTGTCGTATTCCATTGATGACAGTCATCTGTCTTGCCCACTGCAGTGCAAGCTCCACGAGGGCAGAGACTTCGTTCTGTTCTTTGCTCTATCCCTATGCCTAGAACACAGCTTGGCTTGTGCATTGTACGTCTCAATAAATACTTGTTGAACGAGTGGGGCGTAACCTTGGAGCACAATGAAAGGGCCCGTAGTGCCTTTTCTTCCTGGGCAGTGGGAAAATCACTGGCCAGAGAGTACTAAGACCAGGTTGTAGTCCAGGCGTAAGTAATGTGGGCCTCCATTTCTGCTGTGAGCCTCAGTGGATTAATACGATAAAATGAAAGAGCAAACATGATGGTGCTTTAAAATCACAATGTTAATGCAAATATAAGACTTTAAAAATAATTATTTCCACCTCACTAGCAAAACTCACTGCTGCCCCTTTTCCAGGAGGACCATGACATTTGTCCTCACTCGGTACCCGTGAGTTTGCCAGGGTGATAACTTGGGAGCAGGTGAGCTGCCGCCAGGTGGCTGGAGACGCAGTGTCAGGGCGCGGCCACACAGTGTGCGTCCCCTCCCCCTCCCCCCATGAAGATGTACATACATGACTGAGAGACAAGGACTCAGCTTTCCTATCAGAGCTTTCTCTTCGAAGATCATAACTCTGTAAAATCAATTGAACTTCGATATTAATTAGCCATATCCAAAGAGAAACAAGTAGCAAATCATTTAAAGTCACGGGGCACATAACTACATCCTTACCCCTTCCCCCCCAGTCCCCACCTCTCGGCTGTCGCTACTGCCTGTAACCAGCAGCCACCTCCAGGCTGGAGAAGTATCTTTTTCACATCGCCCTGATCTTTTATTGCTCTAAAGTGGAGTGTCTCCTGGAATGTTCTCTAGGGATGTTAGTTTAGGTGTTGGAAAGAGTTCCATGGTCAAGTGAGTTGGGAAATGCTGAGATAATCAATGCTAGATGGGATCCTTTGCTGCAGGACTTCTCAGAGCCTTTATTATGCTAATATACTTTGGGAATCTTCCACAAAGGAACAGAGCAGGCAGCAATGCTGTATCTGACCACAGAATCCCCTTTTCGCCACAGAGCATCTCTCTGGACTGGTGTCCCATGGGACGCCCTGCTCTAAATTTCCACCTTCCTTCC